AGGATGGTTTTGCAGTAATGCGTTGTCAGTTCACCCTTTCCCTCTCCTCATATTTATTTTAGGATTAAATACTTTAAAAAAGGGTGTTTTGTCTAAGAAAATATCTAAATGCATGTTTTATTCTTTATTATTTTATTATAGTGAAGTATATTTTGCACTCAAATTTTGTGGATGGAAACTTTTTGTTCCCTAAAAATGTTTCTGACTTGGAGTGTTTTTAATATAAGGAACATTTTACATGACATTAAAAAAACTACAGAACCATAAAAGGGAAAATATGAAAAAGAAATATAAAAGAATAAAAGAAAAAAATGAAAGATAACAAAAGAAAAAGGGTACCTAGAAAAGTAACTTCCAATCTTTTCAGCCTTTATAAACATTATAATTACCATCTCCACCCTATTAAGTTTCATACCATGGTTCCCCTTTTCTCTTAAACAAACCTTTTAAATCAATAAATTCCCAAACCACTCATTCATATTTATCCATTTTCAGCAAAAAGGCGATAAAAGGATTTCCAGTCTTTTATAACTGTTGTTCCTTCCTTAATCAAACAAGTCTTTTCGCTGATGATGTAAAGCTGTTCAATACCACAGACAATACTGCTACCCTACAAAAAGATCTTGACTATGTATCAGAATGGTCAAACAAATGGCAACTTCAAATCTCAACAAATAAATGCTCTGTCTTACATATTGGCAAAAAAAATCAGAAAATAAAATACAAGCTGAATAGTCAAGATCTTGTTGATGACCCAAGCTCTGTAAAGGACCTTGGAATACTCACCTCTAATGATCTAAGTGCTAGAGCCCACTGCAACTACATAGCCAAAAAGGCATTAAGAGTTGTTAACCTAATCCTACGTAGCTTTTTCTCTGGTAATATCACACTACTAACCAGAGCATACAAAACATTTGCTAGACCAATACTCGAATACAGTTCATCAGTCTGGAACCCACATTACGTATCTGATATTAGCACAATTGAGAAAGTCCAGAAATATTTCACAAGAAGAGTTCTCCACTCCTCTACTCGTTGTAGAATACCTTATGCCACCAGACTTGAAATTCTAGAACTAGAAAACCTTGAATTACGCCGTCTTCGGTCTGATTTAAGCATGGTATATAAAATCATACATTGCAATGTCCTACCTGTCAATGAATACTTCAGCTTCAACCATAACAACACAAGAGCACACAATAGATACAAACTCAAAGTTAACCGCACCAAACTTGATTGCAGGAAATACGACTTCAGCAATAGAGTGGTCAATGTCTGGAATACTCTACCCGACTCTGTAGTTTCTTCCCCAAACCCCAAAAACTTTAACCTTAGACTGTCTACTATTGACCTCACCCCTCTCCTAAGAGGTCTGTAGGGGGCGTGCATAAGCGTACCAACATGCCTACCGTCCCTGTCCTATTGTTTCTCTTATTCTTCTTTTATTTTTCTTATATGTACCCATTTCATGTATTCACAACTATGTATACACTTATACTTATTATCTTGTAAACAATTGGCAAATCAAATAAATAAAAATAAATAAAATAAAGTCAATTTCGCCATTTCTGCAAGCTCATGCATCTTCCTGATCCATTTTTCCATACTGGCTATTTCTGCATTTCAAATCTGTCGTTCCTTATGCTCCAGATGCTTCATTCATTTCACTGGAACATGATCAGTGTGTGTGTATGTGTGTGCACATTTGACTACCTCCCAAACCTTTCTGAAGGTTATGTAATTGTGGTCTTTCTTCCTGGTTGAATTATCTTTACCAGAGATGCTCATATAATTATGGATTTTGGTTTGTTTTATGTTTTGTTGGCCATAAAGATCACATATACCCTTTGATTTGCTATTTAGCTTTGTGTCATCTGACCTTTACAGTTACGATAGTTGGCTGAAAAATGTTTCCTTGTTTTGGTTCTCTTTTTCTTGGCAACTGGGATATTTGATTATTAGTCCTTTGCAGGTTCTATTTGGATAGCTGTACCTACACATCATGCTACCTATTAGGAGAAATAAAACTCACTCTTCCATTTGGAAGTAACTTGAATGAAAGACCAATCACAGAAGAATAGCAAAAAGAACAGGTAAGGCAACATCCTGGAAAAAACTTACGCCAACAATTGGAGGGGATCCAATAGTTGTTTTATTAAAGCTAGCCAGTTAAGAGTGAGTCACTGGTCTCCTGCCATAAGAATGCCAGAGATTGTCAGCCAAATTCTTATATATGTTACAAAGATTGAAGAACACATTTGACAATTAACAAAGAGTTGCTTTATAACTAATAAGGAATACAGATTAGACAGAAGATATAAACAATTACTGTAGCTTACTGGAAGTTCATACTTAGCCTGTGGAACATTACTATTAAAACCCTTATTAAATCATACCTGAGGACTGGGAAGCCATGAGTTCTAGTAATGCCTTAAACACAAAGTCAACTGGGTGACTTTTAGCCAGTCAGTTTCTCTCAGCCCTAGGAAGGAGGCAACGGCAAACCCCTTCTGAGAAACCTTGCCAAGAAAATTGTAGGGATTTGTCCAGGCAGTCTATGAAAATTGGATAAGATTGAAAGGGGGGTGGGGGGAATCAACCCTACATTAAGAAGGCCAAATGCCTGTAAGAACTAATGTAGCATCATGGTTAAAGTCTCAGAGAAAAGGGGAGTTGTTCTGTGTTTGAATTAAGTCATATAACTTTCTTGAACATTCTGTGCTAATCACACTTCGTTTTGCCTGATGGGTTTGTTTTGAGGATAGATAAGATAGAGATCCTTGAAGTAACTGCCACTTAATACCTACTATCAATGGTTGGATTCAAAATTGTTTACTACTGGTTCTGTGGGCGTGGCTTGGCAGGCGTGGCAGGGGAAGGATACTGTAAATTCTCCAGTCAGAGGTGGTGTCGTTTCTCCAAACTCAAAATTTCCACTACCGGTTCTCCAGAACTGGTCAGAACCTGCTGAATACCACCTCTGCCTACTATGAAATATTCAAATCACTATCAAAATGTATTAAGAGAAAAATAGATTAGTTTTACTATAGAACGTGTTGTGATGTTTATTTGTATGACTTTTTACCTTTTTATATATTTGTATATTTTAATTTTTTGTATTTAATAAAGGTTTTTAAAATTAAAAAAAAAAAGATAGAGATCTTTGTGCACTTCCTTGGGATATAACTTATAAGTGGATTGTGGTGAAGAGAGGGAAGGGAACCAGAAATCTGGCAAGGGATGGAGCAATGGGGTGTTTTTGTACTTTGTACCACATTTACAATTTGATGGTAAATTTTGATGTTAAATTTTATTTGCTTAAGACATTTGGTGAACATCATTTGTTTATGAGTTTTGATTTTCTGCCTTTTTTCTGCTATTAAAGTGACCATCCACCAAAATATAGTCTTGTTTACTGCCACTTCCCTGTGTAGAAATTGCAGTTGGAGCTCCTGAGATAATTCTAAGAACCCTCATTATTCAAAAAGTTGAGAATCTTTTTCTTCATGTGCTCCCTTGAGGAGAACTATTGAGAAAGCTAATGAAATTACTGAATTTATTGTTGAAATGTTGGTTTTATAAAAATGTTGCTTAATACCGTAGATATATGGCATGATTTTAATTTCTTAGATCCATTATGTCTATGGCAAAGTTCTGGTAATGAAATCTAACCTTCATAACTTAATTATAAATGTGGACATTAGAACTATACTTGGGGTACATTTTTAAATAACTTTCAGGGGAAAAGAATTTCCAGTTTTATAAATGTGTGTTTTATTAGCTTTTTTCTTTTTTTAAAAAAATTGAAGAATCTTACCTAGATCAGTTTAAAATGACTTAACTGGATTTGATAGCTGGTCATTAAGGAATATAAAGGAATATGAAAAATTCATACTCCATTGAATTCTCAATCACATTTTCTTTTATTTTTTTCTAAAAAGTGCTGTGTAAACTTATACAAATTTTTGACATAATAGTCACGAAAACCTGACAAAGAGTAGAATAGGATCACTAATATTTACAATAATGTGCATTAAACACAAGAAATGTTGTCTCTACTATATGGACATTGCTAATCAAATTAGTTGAGTAATATGGTTTTGTAATCCTTTCTATTCTTCACATTGCAGAAAGTCTGTATGAATCTATCTTGCCCTGGCTTTGATCAATGGAGCAGATATGCCACTGTTACTATTCAATCCCTCCATAAGTATTTTCAAGTGTTTTAGATTAAAGGTTCCAAGACCTGTAAACAGTGAGTTTAGCTATGGCCTGAAGGAATTGCAGTCAAAATCATTTGGAGATCACTAGGTTAATATGCCTGCAATAAGCTTTTAGAGTGAAATTTTAAATACTGGTATGATTGTGCCATCTGGAAATAGATAATTGTTTTATTATGTATGCTGCTCCTGGTCACAATGGCTATACAAATGTGATAAACAAATTCACTACAACAGTGTCTCTAAAACCTTGGCAACTATAAGATGTGTGTTCTTTGACTCCCAGAGTTCCTCATCCAGTATGCTGGCTGGGGGATTCTGGGAGTCGAAATCCAAGCATCTTAAAATTGCGAAGACTGAGAAACTCTGCACTACAGGATATAAACAACCTTAAGGAAAATAGGGCTTCCGAGCAGGCCTCCTGTTGTAGGCTTGGCTCATTAGAACATATCTAGGTGAATATCTTTCTTCAGTCTCTCATGTCTCCTCCCAGATTCACTTAAGAGCAGGGATCTCTCTTCCATACTGTCTTTCAAAACATAAAATGGTATTCACGTAAGGAAGTTCAGTCACAAGTCAAAATTTGGTACTTCTCATTTGTATGCTGAGGAATTCTTATGGTTTGGGAGAAGTGGACTGCTCTGAATTATTTCAAATGAAAATGTGAATCATCACCAAGAGAATCAGTCCTTTAAAAGGTTGTCTAAGGCCCATGCTGTTCATCATTCCTTGGTTTTGTAAACAAGAGAATAAACTGCTTTTTCCCCCTCCCTTCTTTAGATAAAATCCTGATACCACCATGGGAAAACAGAACAGCAAGTTACGCCCAGAAGTGATGCAAGATTTGCTAGAAAGCACAGACTTTACTGAACATGAGATCCAGGAATGGTACAAAGGCTTTCTCAGAGACTGCCCAAGTGGACATTTGTCCATGGAGGAATTTAAGAAAATCTATGGGAATTTTTTTCCTTATGGGGACGCTTCTAAATTTGCTGAACATGTGTTCCGTACATTTGATGCAAACGGCGATGGAACAATAGATTTCAGAGAATTTATCATAGCTTTGAGTGTAACGTCCCGAGGGAAACTGGAGCAAAAGCTGAAGTGGGCATTCAGTATGTATGACCTGGATGGAAATGGATACATCAGCAAAGCAGAAATGTTAGAAATAGTTCAGGTATGTATCACTTATAAGAACCTACCTACCTACCTTCCTTCCTGCCTGCCTGCCTCCCTCCCTCCCTCCCTCCTCAAACAATGAATGAATAAATTTTTCACCGTTTTTGAATTATCATGTTCTCTTCACTATAAAAATGAAATATAATATTAATATTTAATCACCAGCTAGAATAGAAAGAAAAATATTATCTCTGCCAAGATATTCAGGTGTGTTTCCTTCTGAAGACCACTAAATAAGAAATTGGATTCTCAGTGTAAATTCTGTTTTGTCTAATTGCTCCATATTTTGATTGGTAAATTATGTTATTCTGTCAGCCGTAATCCCTCCCTGTGTGACCAAAAAACTGTCAGCTCTACTGAAAAAGTAAAGTAAAAGGAGATCTACAGTAATCAAGGCAATTAGAAAATCAAGGCAATTAGAAAATTTATTCTTGGGATGGTCTACTTTGTATTTCTGAATTTTGATTCCTTATTTGGCTAGTGTGGGTATGTGTAGTATGGATGGTTATAGCCAAGCCAGTGAAAAACCAACATGTTGTAGCAATTAACCTTGGATTAGGACTTGACGTGACAAGGTTCAAATCAGAAATCAGTGGAAGACCTTCAGCCTAACTTACCTTACCCTGTTGTTGTGAAGATCACATTTCCCAACCTGATGTTCTGATCTATAATTTCAATACCCTTGGAGTAAGCTTTGGAAATACTGATTATTCTTGTTGGAATAAAAACTGGATAGATAACATTGTCCCCATAATCTTTTTCTCCAACAGAGGGGTGAATTTTCCTACCCTCATTTCTCTTCATGTGCTGCATTCTTTCCTTTCATCACCTTTAAAGTTGCTCTGTCTTCTTTTGCCTATTTTGAAGTGTTCTCTGTACTGTTGCTACCACCCTTTAAACAATTACAGGTGGATTTCACCACCCCAGAGTATTTGAGATAAAGTTTTAGTATAAATCTTTCATCTATCCCAGGTGGCATGCTAAACTGGTGCTATTTCATGTCCCTTCTGTGGAACTGAGGCCAGAGGATTTTCTGATGACCATTAATATAGTCTCAAATGAGACGTGGGCTAGCAAAGTTGTGGCACAAGCTCTTGAATTTCCAATTTGTTTATGAGAGGAATAAAAAATGTCAGATGTCAGAAAGATTTTTCCTAGAGATCTATTTGAGCATAAAGCAACTATTTTTTGTAGTTCTATAAATAGCCTATTTTAACTAGCTTTCTGAAATTCATATTTTTAATGAAGGACTGTTGTTACGGTTACCTTTGTTACCTACCAGTTTGATTTCATATTAGAGTTCCCAAGTTTAATGTTGAATTTTATTATTTTTGGCTTGTGTCATCACCATACTATTTGTTGGAATTGCTCACAATAATGGCAAGATGAAAGAAAGGAAGGGAAGGGAAAGAACAATTTAGACCAGTCTATCAGTAAGCAATTTGAATTTCTTCTGTGTTAAATATAGATAAATTTTGATATAGTGTGGCACATAGAAATTGCAGTGAGGAAAAAATTGCTTACTTCTGGAAAAGTATTAAAGGCTACTTTAGCATACAGTAAGATATATCGACTTATACCTAAGTCTTTTCCAAACAGAGGAAAATCTGTATTAGCATTTTTCCTGTGATCTGTAGGCATCTTCTTTTCTGATGCTATTTCTGTTCAATATTCAGTTTTTCCCTAACAACTCAATTAGGGGCACCATAAATGCTTGTTGCAAAAATCTGTATGACTGCTAGAGGGCGAAACATTTTCTGTGTCACCTTTCTGCCATCAAGTGGTCATACGGATTGTTGCAGACCTGTTCAATTATGTATGACATTAAACAAATGATACCATTTTTCATTTATACTTTATTATTAATTGGACTTCACTGAGTAGCAGTTGAATTTAGAAATAAAAAATAAACATTTACTTAGATGTCCAATATAGGAGAAACTAATATACCAGTATTTTTTCCTAAATGGAAAGATCTCTAGTATAGGCAGAACTAATACATTAGTAGTTTACTAGAGGATCTCCAGCGTAGATACCAGATAACTGCAATTCTTGATATCCACAGTTTGTAAGACACCAGGCTGAAGATGTCTACTTAACTGAAAGTAGTATACTTGAACTGTAAAATGTACAGTAGTATAAATTTTATCTGATAGAAATATACATACATACATATGTAAATAGGGTACTGAATACAGTACAGTATAATTCAGTACAGTACAGTACAGTATAATTCAGTACAATAGTGTACTGAATTAACTAAGAATAACTATAATAACCAAGACTAATTCTCAATGGAGATGTCTAAGATTTCATTGTTAAGATATATTCTAAGATTCAACCACATGTCAGTATCCTTTGAACACATTTCAGAGCATATTTAAGTGGACTTGCTTCTTCATGGGAGGGAGGGAGTAGGGTTTCCTTAAGGTATGCTTAGGCGGGTACACATTTATTATACTTGCAATCCAACTTTATGTATACACATCAGTTATGTATACCTGCATCACATAAATCTCCTAGTGTTCAGTTGGAAATCATTTTCAAGAAATGGTATGGCATTATTTCTTTAAACAAAATAATCATCATTCTAATTTTTTTTCAGATAAGATATTTTTTCTGTTACTGTTTTTTAGTTGTACAGCAATCTTTTAAAGGATGCTTTTAAAGTATCCCCCCCCCTTTATTTTAAATGTACAATGTGCTGAATCTTTACAGTAAATAAACACAGAAACATTATTTGCAAGAAATATACAATTAGAGTACGTATTGGATTGGTCATTAACGTTTACTCCAACTGTTCAGTAATTAATGCTGTAAATAATGAGCACTTATTTGCTCATTCAGCATTTTCTGTTATTGGTTATTGCAACAAGTGTTTTGACATAACCAATAGGGAAGGGAAAAGAGGTGATTCCAGTAAGTCTTTTTATGTACAAAAAAGTATAGCATAAAGTTTATAGGTGTGATGTGTAATTGAAAACAAGGGGACAAGGGAAACCAAGATCTCTGTGTACATTGATTTAAGGCTATAATGGTATGCTTATTTATATGGAACTAAATTTTCAGTAGGATTTAATTCTGAATAACTGGAATTAGAATTGTTCCTCTATGTGCCCCATAGGAAGCTGTTGATTGCATTGTGGATCCTGTTCAGCTCAGTTTTTTGCCCATGCTTTCACTTGCTTGAGCTGGAGTGAGGTTCTCCCAGTGATCATAAAACAGGGATAACATTTAAATGAATTAACCAAAGGATGATTTTGCTGCAAACCAAGATAATTTGTAATAATGGTTTTCTAAGGAAGCATCCACCTTTAAACTGCAATGAAATTTCACTAGCAAAATATCATTTGGTTAATAACCCCATTGATAATCATTATGTCTTCATCTCAATGTGTCTTTGAGGATAATGAGAATTGTGTGGTACATCTGTAAAGTCCAGGATAGAAGAGGCAGCTTTAGTTACCTAAATTCCTGAAAGCTACCTGGGACCGGTCTGCCAATGCACAGAATTCCCATTGCAGTTTCTGAAATTATGGAACTCTAGTCCCTTCCTTTTCATATTCCATTTTTTAGGCAATCTACAAGATGGTTTCTTCGGTGATGAAGATGCCAGAAGATGAATCGACACCAGAGAAAAGAACTGAGAAAATATTTCGCCAGATGGATACCAACAGAGACGGTAAGTTATCTTTGGATTATCTTCCTTTTAACTTGCTTCTGTTGTTTCTGATCTCTTGATGCCTTTTGAAGAGCAGACTTGAATAAGTAGGAGTATGCCACTGATTCATAGAGACAGCAATAAACCTTTGTGAAAGAATGATGGTTAGTGTTACTGTGAAAAAAATTTGGCAAGCCAGATGCTGTTTCTTGTTAGGTTGCTGTCTTGCAGCTCAACCCATTACTCAGATAAATATTAGGATTTAGATTTAAGCCAGGAAGAACACCCCCCCACCCCCCCACCCCCCAAAAAAATCCCAGTTATAATGGCACAGCAAGACAAATCCTGGAAGCATTACAACTAAAATCCATTCCTCAGTTCCTTTAAACATGCTTCCAAATCTATGAGTAAGAAAGAAGTCAAATCTTTTTTATGGTTGTATGGAAATAGTTCAAAAATTGCTTTTAAAAATTGATTATAATTCAATTAGAAAGATATTTATTTTATAGTGCTGTTATGAAAGCTATAGATATGTCTTCCAATTATCTCTCTTAGCATCGTTGTGCTTCGTTAGCTCAGTGTCTTGATAGACTCAAAACCTTTTCTCCTGAACTGTAGGTAATTTTTCACTTCCAACGTAACAGATCAATTTTGGGAAGGCATTACTAATTGCATGAACTATTGAGAGGTTTTGTTTTACCGAAGCCATACCTGAACAATTCAGTTTTTGCAGATGCCAAATGCCCTATAACTAATCACTGCCATCAAAGTTGATATTTCTCAGTTCTTGAGCAATGGAGATGATTTTACAATCATGTAGACTAGGACACTTTTGAAGCGGGAACCATTTCTTAGTAGAAAAGATCATCTTCCACAAAGAAGGATTCTCAGATTTAGTTTTCGGCATCTGTAATTTAAGAGCAAATGGGTAAGGTTCAGGAGAACCAATGCCAATCTGAACAGATCAAGCTTTCCCAATATGACCTCCTAAATGTTCCAGAGGTTGTAGTCTACCACTTTCAGAAGTCTTTAGCTACAGTACACAATAATAAGCTGTGTCAACAATATCTGAGCTAGTGTAAGATAAGAATTTCATATTTAAATTTGCTAGTGAATATTAGCTTTTAAGCCAAAAGGTTCACTTGCTCTTGTCCTCACCTGGAAAGGAAGCATAATACAAATATGCTAAAGCAGCAGTCCCTAACCTTTCCAGTTTGATGGCCCAGCTTGGGGAGGGGGGATGGTTCAGTGTGAGTGGCAGGTACATGTGCACGTGTGAGCATAGCTCCATTTGTGCAAACACAAATGGAGCTTCATGCATGAGAACAAGAGCCTGCCACTCGCATGTGTGGAGTTTCGCATGCATGCTCACCCGCCACTTGTGTGCCTAGTTCCAAATGGGCCATAACCCGGTAGTGGGCTGTGACCTGGGGGTTGGAGGGGGACTCTAAACAATGCCGGGCAAGAGATATGGTTCAAAAGATCAGATGGGAAAATGGGTGGAAGAAGTTGTTGTTGTCTCCTTTACTAATTCAGTAACAGATTCAACATTGTCGAAATTTAATATATAGAGGCAATCATAATCAATATGTTATTTTTAAGGGAAGTAGTGATAGGGTTATACTTGCTTGTACATACTGGCTAAATTTGCATTCCATATTAAACCATAAAATGTAGTTTACAAACACAGGGATTAAACCAAACCTCAGATAAATAATGACTCAACATGTTGTATGAATTGGACTACCATGTTCAATTATAATATGTGTTGTTTTGAATTAGCATGTTGGGAGAACAAAGTACAGTGGTACCTTGGTACTAATCGTTAATTGGTTCTGGGATGGCATGATGAGTACCAAACAAATTTTTCCATAAGGAGTAGTGTAGTAAGTCACAAGGCAACTGACACTGACAAGTTCTAGCTTTTGCATTGAATACCAAACAAACAATGAGTACCGGGACAAAATGTTCACATCAAAATGCATTGAGTGCCAAATTTGATAAGTTCAAAGCAGTTGAGTACTAAGGTACTGCTGTATTTTTTAACCATAACTTATGGCCTAATATACTATCTGAACTTAATAATAGGTAGTGATGATTTATATTTATTTTGAAAACCCAAACCAGCATCTGTGTTTATTTTCTAGGAAAACTTTCTCTGGAAGAGTTCATTCGAGGAGCCAAAAGCGACCCATCTATTGTCCGTCTCCTTCAATGTGATCCCAGCAGTGCTGGACAGTTTTAAAACTGTTGTTTGTATTACTTGGTGTCTTTCTGGTTTGTTTCTTTTGTCTCATATATCTCTTCACCAGAACAACATTCATGGTTGGTGTTGCCTTTTAAAGGCTACCTTTGCCTTCTTTTGTGGCATTATCTGCTTTCTTCATGGCCAGCCATGGATTACAGAGAGTGCAATTGTCACAACAGCGTCCTTTTTCAAATTGTAATTATTTGTGGCCTGTGTGCCACTGAGTATGAAGAGGACTTATTTCCTAATTGGGTTAATGCCTTAAGTCATGTCTAGTCTGCCAATTCCAAGCTGGTTCCAAAATTCTGTAAGATCTGAGGGACATGTGGAGAAGACTGAAGTCAGCCAATAACTGCCATCAATCAATCAAATCTTTATTACGGTCAAAGACCAGCATAAGGAAGCTGGGGTACAGTCAATTAAAGCATAGAACATACATCAAATAATTATAAAAAAACCCAAAAGCTATAAAACTATATATATATAAAACTATATATATATAAAACTATATATATATATATATATATTTTCTTTCTAAGTTTTCGCAGGTACTTACATGTATGGTATTCAGCTTTGTTCGGGTATTTTCACACGTCATTATAGTTGTGCTTTTAAATATATATATATATATATATATGTATATGTATATGTATATGTATATGTATATATATGTATGGTATTCAGCTTTGTTTGGGTATTTTCCCACGTCATTATAGTTGTGCTTTTAAAGTTGTAGCAACGTTTCGGCAGAATCTCATCTGCCATCATCAGGCTTCTGTATTGTGTTCGTCTAGACGAGCACAATACAGAATACACAATACACAATACAGACGAACACAATACAGAAGCCTGATGATGGCAGATGAGATTCTGCTGAAACGTTGCTACAACTTTAAAAGCACAACTATAATGACGTGGGAACAAAGCTGAATACCATACATGTAAGTACCCGCGAAAACTTAAGAATATATATATATAAATATAAATAAAGGATGGCGTGTGCCAAACTAAATCTATCATAGTAAAGAGCATTCTTGTGTGATGAACTAAATGCTCATTATTATTAGTTCATGGAACATCTGATGGACGTTTAGCACCGCTACACAGAAACTGACAATATTCTATGTTATAGCAAGGTTAGTATTTGAAAGCAGCAGGAAGAGGTAGAATTGTCCTGTGCACTCTGGGTATGTGTGCAATAGTGAGGAGATAAGGCTAATATGAATATCTTTGAAAAAGAGGCAGTGGAGAAGTATATGCTGTGTTGTTTTTGTATAACCGGTAGCACAGGAGCATGATCTCTCTGGATAGGAAATCTTACTGTATTGGCTTTCAAAAACAGCTGAGAGGAGGGCATGACATCATTCCAGAGTAAAAACACTCTGTTGGTTAGGTACTGTTTGATTAGGTGTGCCATTGGGGAGTACCTCTTAGATTCACTGGCAGTAAAGATTGGGGATTTGGCTAGATCAGGATGGTGCAACAGTCCATTTAATGAGTGTCAAGGCCCCAATAAGTATCATGTACCTTCCAATATTGGGGAATGCCAAACAAGATTTTTTTAAATGTCATTCTAGTGAATAAAGAGGCCAGTGATCTTGGGGAGCTTACTACGTTTTCCATGGAGAGTGTGGTAATGTTTATATGAGATCTTTATGTTAAGACACCTTATATACAAATTTCTGTTACCATGTGAGGTTAGACGTAGGCTGTATTATTCACCATACTTTTTCCTTAAAGGTATTCAAAAACTACCTTATGCTAGGACTTGGGGTTAATTTCGTAGCTGTGAGAAGTACATGAAGAGCCAGTTTGGTTTAGTAGCTAAGGTGCTAGATTAGAAGCTGAGATACTTTGGATTCTCCTTTTGCCTTAGACATGGAAGCCATTTGGCTGACTCTGGACCGAACTTCTCACACCTAGAAAGAAAGCATTGGCAGGCTATTTCTGAAAATGTTGCCAAGACTTATCTGTGTAGTCATCAGGAATCAGGGTTATTTCAATAGACCATAACAGCAACAGAAGTACTGCTACTGGTATTGAAGAAATCAGTGCAAATCTTATTTTCCAATACAGAAGCCAAGATGGTAAATTAAATGTGCGTTCATTCTAAGAAATCCTTAGTGATTTCTAAGGATCAGTATATGAGGTATGAAATTCCTTTTCTAAATGATGGTGAGTTCAATCCTCCAGTCTGAATGTTGCAACAAAGGGACCAATAGCACCTTGGAGCTAAATATAAGTAATACACAAGTAATGTTTTGTCTGCAAAGCTGTGAGTTATAATAGAACTAATAATAAGGAACAACTAACACTAGCTTATGCTATACCCTTCAGAGATGCCATACCATTTGTAAAATTACAGAAAATGAATGGGTTTGGACAGATCATATCAATATTTCTGCTATTTTTTTTCTTTAAAAACCCAGATTCTACAAATGAAATTCCTTATGCTTAAGCAGAGATTCATTGGGAGAAAGGGCAAAGGAGAATTTTATTTTATTTTATTTATCATTATCTTGATTATCATTTAGCATCTTGTGCAAGTTGAGAACTGAGCTGAAGAAAACTGAGGTAAATATTGGGAGTAATGCATGCCGTGGTAGAGGAGAATGAAGGCCCTTTTTTAACATGGAAGGCCTGTTGCTTTGAAGAACTTCAGGAAAATGAGACGATTTGGTGATAACAGAATATTGTACTTGCATGTTACAGAGTCTTATTTTGTTTATACTTAATTGAGGAGAATCAGTAGTTCCAATATAATTGAAAACATATTTCTAAGCATGTAACTTTACTAAGAAAGATTTGTGGAGTAGAAATCAGCCGACAGGAAAGACATGGTTATACATGATCTTTTCCTCTTCCACTGCCCCGCCAAAGCCATTTCCCTCTTTAGCTTCAGTCTTGAAGCTTGGCTTTTAGAAAAACAATAGAAATGGGAAACAAGGCATTGTTCTAGGGAAGAATTAGAGATCTGGAAGTCCATGCAAAAAGGAGAACCATCTGGCAGGGAAGACATCTGTATGTTTAACCATTCAGGCACCAGCCAGGTTTTCTCTTCAAATACTTTGCCAAGGCAATTTCCTCCATCATCAGTGATTTTGGAGTTCCAGTGGCATGAAAAGAGGAGAAAGGAAATATTGTAATGGAGACTTGGAAGGGGTTAACGCAGAGGTGAAATTCAACCACCCCCGGCCCGGCTCAGGAGACGTGGTAGGGACAATTTGAATTGGTAAAAAACCGCCCCTGGTTGCTATTACTATTATACCAAGCCACGCCCACAGCCACGCCCACAGAGCCAGTAGGGAAAAAAATTTGAATTTCACCCCTGTGTTGTGCTGAGATTCCCCCACAATACTAGCATTTGCTTTGTAACATGCAGTTTTGCCCCCGTTCAAATGGAAAGGGGTCCAAAGAAATTACATCATATAAGCACTTGATACCAAAGGAGGAGATTGATATGACTGCATTTCAAGTTCTGGAGGGGCGTGGGAAGAGTTCTCCCAAGGTAGATTCCCCAGCTCAAGAATTTTCATGCCCCAGAAATACAGTAAAACAGTTGTAAAGCAGCCTGTGTTTCCTCCAATGTGACAGCACTTTAGCAAAAATGCAGATCTGAGCTGCACCTCAAAAGACGTAAAATACAGGACTCGTGTAGGTCTTAATTAAAATACAGGATACCATTTGTAATGTGTTTATAAATACACACACACACACACACACACACACACACACACACACACCAGAGGTGGTATTCAGCAGGTTCTGACCAGTTCTGGAGAACCGGTAGCAGAAGTTTTGAGTAGTTCGGAGAACCGGCAAATACCACCTCTGACTGGCCCCGCCCCCATCTATTCTCTGCCTCCTGAGTCCCAGCTGATTGGCTGGGTCTTCTTTTGTTGCCCTGCACAGGAGAATGGAGCTGGAAAGCAGGTTAGTGGGGTGAGAAGGGAATGGAGATTTTACAGCATCCTTCCCCTGCCACGCCCACCAAGCCACGCCCACAGAACCGGTAGTAAAAAAATTTGAATCCCACCACTCACACACACATACACAATGGATTTTTTAAAATGTTCAGTGTTTTTGTCCAAAAGTAACTTTTATTACACAGTTATCTTCTCCTCCATCTCCTTGAAATCCCTTTTACAAAACTTTAACTACGTTGAAGACAAATGGATGGAGACAATGGAGTTTATAAACATTTTGGAACCCTTCCCAAAGCAACTGTCTGCTTTCATGATTTGTCAGGCAGCAGCTTCATCTCAGAACTTGGGAATAAGCTGGTTAAGGGGCCTGTTTTTTGCTTTGAAATAAATGCACCAGGGTCACTTGACATGTGAGAGAAGAAGGAAGATCCTATTGGCATAGTTAAGTGGGAACGGAGGCAGTGTTTGTAAATAGTTCCTTTCAACCTAAATTGTTAAATTTTTTTCAGTAAAGAAACTGCTTGTGAGAAAGATTTCAACCAAGGTGTTGGTTGTGAGATGGTTAGTACTATTTATGATAAGAAGGATTCTTTTTAAAATATTTATTTGGGTTTTGCTACATATTTTTTGAACTCCACCCAAAAAGGAAATTAGACAAATCCTCTCATGAGCATTTAACTCAGGGTTGGCTGAACTTTTAGATTTGTGGCCTTGTTTTTTTTTTCCTTAATTGCTTTTTTGGCCTATAAAAACCATAAGAGATGTAGCAATCTTGGCCTGGAAGAGTCAGAGCTGAAGCGTTTTAGAAGTTTCGGCTTTTAGGAGGTTTTCGAAGGTTGCACGAAGAGATATGTAAAGTTTATCCCCAAAGAGTTGAAGAATCATGCTTCTGAATTTTATTTTTTGGCTACTGAAATTTGATTTATGGTAAAAAAAAAAAACGGGGGAGGGAAAATTATGTATGATTTCTCAGTTGTGAATTTACAGAGCTGAGAATCAATTTGTTCCACGTCCAGGCGTTGCAATCAAGAATAACACTCTGCAAAACGCTTTGTGCTGTTATGAGGCAGTGTTATTTTCCTTCTAAAAATAAAAAGCCAGAGCCCAACAACATATTTGATTTTTAAGAGCACTGGGCACATAAAAAATTTATGCCTGGATATTTTTATTGAAATAATGGACATAATGTTGGCAAGGTAAAACTGTATATAAAAGAGGCA